CTGTCTGTCCCTTCACCAATCCATTCTCTCTACGGCAGCCAGAGTGCTCTTCCTGGTGGGGTCCTTTTCATGCCTAAAAGGTTCCTGCTTATGTGTCCAGTAATGAGGCATGGGATGACTGTTTCCATTATGCTCAATTCCTTGTGTTCTGTAAACCTTTTGCCCATGAGTTTGTGTTTGACCCAGTTCTTTCGGTGGCAATAGCATTTTTCCTATAGATGGAAAACTCATGTTACCTACAAAACTTTGTTAATTCATTCCCGCAATCCTGACCAGCATTAGCCACACCTCATCCCAGCATCCTGTGACAGTACAGACTTTGGTTATGGACTTCTCACACTGCAGGCACTTTGGGGATAGGACCTTTCAGTATGTTTGTATACCCAAGCACATTGATGAGTACCTGGGACAGTCAATGCTCAATAAATGTTAACTGAACAAACTGATATGGATTGGCCTGCTTGGGAGTGTAGGTTTATCGCTGAAACTACTTCCCGAATAGGAGCTAGATAAGAAATGTGTGAGATACAGAAATGAGGTAAAAATGTGTTGTTTTCCCCATTTGTCTCTTCTGACATTTTCTTCCAAATAAGCAAGATTTTATTGCATTTTTCTGATTGCAAAAGCAATACATTCGAAGCATAGTATTTATATGGACTCTGGCATCAGGCTTGAGTTCAAATTTTGCTACGTGTATCAAATAATAAGCAAATAGAAAAGGCTGTGTACTTGCACACAGTGCTTAACACCTTTATGTCTTAGTTCTCATCTGAAAAGTATTGGAAGCTATTATACTATTGCTTACTTCTCAAGAGCGTTATGAAGTTAGACTCTGCATGCTAAGTGCTTGGCACAGTGATTGCTGAACAAGTACTTGCAGCTCTTATTGTGAAGTTCAGTTCAGAAAAGGTAAAGGTCTCTGAGATCTGGATATAGCTGGAGAGTAGGGCTTAGGATCTTCACTGTGTTGCACTAAAACACAAATCTGACTCCAGAAGCCTTGGGGAACAATTTTGATCTTTTCTCTTAGAGCAGCCTTTCTCAACCCGGGTTCATTTGGACCACAGAACACAGAAAATAACTGGAGTGACTATCTTCTCAGTTCCCAGAATGTTACATAACTTATACTGTTCTAGATGCATGAGAGAGTTATGTTCATTGTCTACAATTCAGGCCATGTAGGTTTCATTATCTCCAAACTCCTCCTCTTTAAGAAAGGCAGCTCTGACATTCTTTGATGTTTCTTAGACCTGATGCAGGGACTCGGCACAGTGCATGAGTCACACCACTTCAAATCTTCTCTAGAAACCTGTCCCTTTCCTTAAACCTTCTCATGATTGCTATAAATATCTCCCTTCCTCACCCATGATGTGTTCCTACAAGTTTGTTCTTTCTCCATATTGTGCTTGTCACATACCAATTCTGACATGTATTACCTTACTTTTCCTAAGAGTAACACAGCACTCCCTATCCCTGTGTCCTCCTCCACTTCTGGAATTGCAATGAATGGTATCTCCAAGAAAACTAATGCCAATAACTAGACTAAACACTAAGCATGGTTGACATCTTTTTTTAAAATTTTTAATGCAGACTTTTCTAAGTTGCCTGGCTCCCTTTGAATAATTTTCCTTGACTAAAACTAGTAATCTGGGCACTTGAATCAAGTTGTTCTGACTTGTGCTGCCAAGGCTTCTGTAAGACTGGTGCTGTATGGCAAAGCAAGTCTGCTCCTCCTGGTGCCACCCCTAGTTCCTGCTGCTTTCCAGGGGTAACAACTCATGCTGGCTTCTAGAAAGGCAGCAGGCACCACCTTTTTTTTTTTTTGGATGGGCGTGGTGGAAGTCATGATGTCTTCTGTTAGAAATAATATTGGGAAGGCAACTAGCAGTGTCTGCCACAATTCATATAATGGAATATCATATAGCCATTAACTTTTGAAGAATATTTATTGGCATGGGAAAATGCTCACAATATGTTAAAGAAAGCAGGATACAAATATGTAAATACAGCATGATCCCAATCTTGTAGTAAAATAAATTATATATGCATAGAAAAAATACAGGAAGGAAATACACTAAAACATTAACAGTGATTTCAGGATGGTGGGATTTGGGGTAAATTATTTTCTGCATTTTCCAAACTTTCCACAATGAACATATATTACTTTTATAATCAGAGGGGAAGAGGGGGTCAATACAGGTGACGCCTAGTCCTGGGAGGTGGTAAGACTGATGTGGCACTAAGGGGGTGTTTGGAGTCACTTGTACTGCCTCAGTCTGTGTCCTCATTTATAAAGGAGGGATAATAACACCTGCCCTGCCTGCCTCCCAGGACTATTGGGCATCTGAAAGCGTCACAATATCTGGTGATCGTTCCTCTGTAGCAGCAGCTCAAATGCTTTATTTTAGGACACATGCCTCCGTACCCTGGTTCCAAGGTCAGGAGAGTTGGGGCGGAGGGACCAGCCTGCAGCCTTGGTCCCTAGCCTATTCTAAAGGATTCCAGGTCTTTCTTGGAAATCCAGTACTGACCAAGCAAGTACTGGATTTTCCCCACTCATACTTCCACTCCAGGTCATTTCCCTGCTTAAAAACTTAACTAGTTCTGCTGAAATAGTTATTGCTTAAAATGGCCTGAGAATGACCACCCTCCTCATACCACTCTGGTTCCCAGCATTTCAGAGCCTAAGGAGGCACAGTGTGGGCCCAAGTGTGCTGGGGGAAAAGGAGTGGTGCTGGGAATCAGGCCACCAGAGTTGGACTCTTCCTTGCTGTGACATGGGGTAACTTTCACAAGCTTTCTGGAGAGGATCTTTCATATGAGATAAGGTGAGGTTACATGAGATAACATACATAAAAAGCCCAGGATATAGTAAGCACTTAACAGATATTAGTTCTTTCCGAGTGCCAGGTGAAGTCACTCTCTTCTTCTTCCCCGCAAGTTGTCTCTTTTCAAAAACAAAGCTTAGTGCCCAGTGCAGAGAAATGCAAAATGAAACAGAACTCACTGAAAGAAGCAGAAGAGCACAGCTACTTAAACAGGACTGTGAAAACACTGTGTAAAGAAAGCCAGTAAGATGGCATTTCATTAAACACATCTGCATGTAGGTAAGCTGACATGCATGCCAAAGCTATTTGATTATAGAAATTATAAAAATACTTTAAAAATGCATTTGTAGAATGAAATAACAAAAATACTTAAATTTTTTCTAAACTTTTTTTCACTTAATCTAAAATTATGAATTGCCCATTTCATTTTATTTGCTGTTAGTTAAAACCTGGGTCACTCAAAATCTTTCCCTCAAATATTTTGGATGAAATTCTAACATGTATTATCTTCTTCTTAGCCTTTTATAAAATATTCTGGATTTAACTGCTTCTTTTAAATTCATTATGAGAATTAGTCTATAGGCCATACTGTTGTACACATTTTCTGGGTCAACTAGAGTATCCTTTGGTAAGTAGACAGTCCCCGATTTGCTGTCTTGAATGGTTTATTCTTCTCATCTCACAAACTAGTTTTAGTTGGCTTTTTTCTTCTTTCAGTATGCCTGCCTTCAACCTAGCAGACTCTTTCTTTGCCATTTTTTTTTTTAGTGAGCTTCAAAGCCAGCTAACAAAACATGTTGGAAGCGTATGCAAATTTCAGTACAGAGTCTAAGAGTGATATTCTTGAAGATCTCTCCCATAAGTTGTAAGAAACTTTGTGACATCTCTTCTGGCAGCTGGAAGGCCTTTTAAAACTCAATTCCTGATTTTTTTTGTTTTCCAGAGAAATAACTTCTGGATAAATGACCTTTTCACTAACATTCTATGTACTTTACCTATCCTTAAAAAGGCTATTATAAATGAGAGAATGGATGTAAAAACACTTTTAAAAAGCACAAACTAAGTAGCATTGTTTAGCCCATGGATCTATAAAGAAACACACATAGATGGCTAAATTGAATCAACCCCAATGTTTTATTTAAAATTTTAAAAGGCAGTGGTTAAGCACATTATGTTTATATGTATATATATGAATGTATGTACATGTGTATATACATACATATATATACAGGAAACCAACCCCTTTTCAACTTTAGCCACTGATCAGCTAGGCCCACTGTCTATTGCATGATTCAGTTTCTACTTCTTCATAGGACCAATTCTAAAAGTAAAAATAAACAGCCTTTATCAGTTTAACAGTAATTAATTGTGTTTCTTTTTTTTTTTAAAATAAATAAAGTTACTATTAAACTGATCACATATGGTAGAAAGGTAGAATACACACACACACCAGCACACACATAATCCCCAATTTAAAACATGATGTATGAATGACCTATATGTACAAATGGGTGCTTCTGACTCCCCCACCCCAAGCAGAGGCCACGAAAAAACTCCCATTACTAAGGGAGTCTCCATTCTTTCTGGCTGGGATGGAGGATGTGTGTGTTCCTGGCACCCCGGGTGAGACCTCAGAATGCAGACTCCCCATGCACTGATACAGATGATGGTTCAGTTCTATGGTACTAGTGTTCAGGTACATGAGGGAATAAATAGGCATTTGTAGCTGCCTGAGAACTAAACCATCATTTATAACTTTTTATAGGGAGAGAAATGTATTCTGAAGTTATAGCTAAGTGACATACAAACTTTTAGAATATAATCAGTTTGTAAGTCTGAGGCTGTGTGTGTGTTTCTATATATTTATACAAAATTGATATGAAGAATGGGGCTAGGTTTATGGAGCAGCTGCTAGGCTTCCATTTAGTCAGTTCTGATCTAAGAAGTCACTTGCTCAGGGCCTTTATTTACCAGCTCATTCTGCTTCTCACATGACTCTGGCTGCTGGAGAGATTGAGAAGGGGCCACTCACACCAGTGAGGGGAAGGACATGGCTAAATCTTCTGCTAAGAATCTTGGCAAAAAGAATTGCCAGATTCAATCAGGGCCGCATTATAAAATAAAATCCTTCAGTTCCATCCTGATGAAATGGAATTTTTTTTTTTCTGCTTCTAGCCCCTGTAACTCCGTCTAACTGCAGCTCTGTATAAATGCCTCAATATCGCAAAAAACACAGGGTCACCTCTTAAATATGCTGGATTCTCAATGAGTAAACCAGTTAATGTGTTTCTAGCCAAAGCAAGGGCATAAATGTTTTAGAGAAAAGATTCCCCTGGAGCTACAGAGAAAAGATGCTGATAAAGCAATATTGAGAGTTGAGCAGGTGATGCTTTTAGTCTGTGTCAGAGCTGGTCTCTTCGATGACAGAGTACTGGTTGAGTGCTTCCTCCAAAGGCGTTATTGTCCCATCAGGTTTTAGTCCCATTGGTTTAAGCAACTCCTCTCTAGAAAAAGAGATAAAAGAGAGAGAAAGAAAAAAAGTATTCACCAGCATCACACACAGACCCCTCCCCCACCACCCAAATCCACATCCTTTTAAAAAGAAAAGTCTTTAAAAACCAAAGTATTTTCCCTTGAGCTCTCTCTGTGTGTTTGTAATAGGAAAGATGAAAGGGGCATGGAAAGAAAAAGAGGGAGATAAAAGGCTTCATTCACACAGGCCAAACCTACTAAGCCAATTAAAAGTATGAAAAGTCAAGGTCTAAATGGGCTCAGGACAAGGAGCAGGTCTCTTCTGTTTTGAATAATCAACTTTTTTTTTTTTTTCCTTTTGTGGATTGGTTTTGTTTTAGAGAAGTTGAAGCTACCAAAATTTCACCTGCCCCAGTGGTTGGAGCATACAATTAAATGGCTGATTTGATATGCACACACTTCATTCAATGGAATAAATCTGTCGTTTTGATTTTGCCTCTATCTCTAGTGATACTAAGTACTTGTTGATTCATTTCAAATTAGTTGGCCTTCCCCAACTCTCTCCCCGACTTTTCTTTCCTTCTTTCTCTTTCACTCTTTTCTTTCCTCCTCCTCCTTTTTAAAAAACACCATTGCTTTTGTTTGTGGCAGTTTAATTATGGGATTGACAGCCATTTTAATCTCTTCAAAGCTCCCCAACTGCAGCTTTTCAGCTAATCCAATTATATCTACTCCACAAGTTACAGCCTCATCTAAAGATGATTAATTATTGATTAAGCCAATCAAAAAGCATTAGGAAAGATTTATTTAATCTTTTCATAGGCTCTTATTTATTACATGGAGATTATGGTGAATGTACCTGTTGAGTTGCTAACTTCAGTCCTCCCATCCCTAAAAAGGTCAGCGGTGCACTTAAGAGTGGCCTTGAAGAGCCCCATGAACTGCTTAAAACTTATTTATCACAGAAATGGGCATTACACCCCCCCCAAAAAAAACATGTCCATAACCAAAAATCCACATGGCAGCAGCTATAATGTTGGTGGGATTTGGATGGAAGGGAAATGACTCCCTCCTCACAGTTGTCCCTTAGGCCAGCAGAAAGAAGGGCTCTCTCCTGGGAAGGTGCAGCCACACAGTAGTGTAATGGTGTTACAGACACAGTGAAACCTCCTGGGGAGGAGTGAGAACAGCTCAGTGGTCAATGGATAAGCCAACAGGAGCCTAATGAAGAGCTCTGACTAGCTCCAGTAGACTACTTTGAAGTGTCTGAAAATTTTGTTTGGGGAATGTGAACATCTGTCAGGCTAAGTTGAGGCTCCTGAACATTATGAGGGAGGAAATATGTTTCCCAATCCAAGAAATGGGGTCAGAATCATAGAACTTTAAGTTGGAAGGGGTCTTACAGATCATTTAGTCCAACCCCCTTTTTAATAAAGGAGACTGAATGACTCACCCAAGGTCACTTATCTAGTGGCAGGGCTGGACCTGGGACATGGGTCTCCTGAATCCTAGTCCAGTAATCTTTGCAGCCCACTACATCTGGATTATTGCCCTAACTGCATTGGAGGAGCACACTGAGTTCATGTCTTCAACATCTGTTCAGTTACTATGTGACAGGAACTATGTCACATACTAAGAAGAAAAGGAAGATGGGTATACCTCCTGCCTTTGAGGAGCAGGCAAAACAAAACTATAAAAAAAATCATTTAGAGCATAATGGGGTAAATGCTGTCAGAGAATTATGAACAAAGAACTGTGGCAGCTCCTGAGATGAAGTACTGACCAAGCTGCCTGGGGGAGGCAATGCCAAGTGAGGGATCAGTAACTGGTCCTTCACTAGGCAGAGGGCACAGAGCATTTCAGACAAAGGAGACTGTAAAGAGCTCTGAATGGCCCCACTGACTTATGTGATTCTGTAGACCTTTTTGGATTGTGTGCTCTCATGAAGCTGGGAAAGGGCCCAGTGTTTGGGGAATTGGGAGGTTCGATGAAGGAGGGGCAGGAGGTAAGGCTGCGAGGGTAGTTTGGGATGCAATAGTAAAAAATGTCTTAAATGCCACAATAAGGAGTTTAGATTTTACCCTGTAAAGAGTGTTTGATTAGGATTGTTTTATAAGAAAGTACCTCTGGCACAGCATGACAGACACATGGGAATTGGTGGCAGATGGACAAGTCATTAGGGTTCATGATAATAGTGTGTGGGAAAGGAGACAGAGCTGGATGAAATCTGAGGTTGTGGGAAGAAAAGGCAACATTTCTGAGGTAGATGTCACGACTCACTGGTAGGACAAGGGGTTGGTGAAGAAGAGTAGTAAGTAGAGAGTTCCTGTTGTTCCAGCTCTGATGACCAAGTGGATGGTGATTCTATTCACTGGGGCCAGGACATAGGAGATGGAGATTTGGTGGGAAGATGCTCACATATTTTAGGACCTGAAGAACATACCTACATGACAACCAGGTTGAAATGTTCAGTGGACAGCTAGAAACAATCTGTTTCCATTAAAACTTCTCTCTAGCACTGACATAATTACGTATCTGTATTTTAAATTCCTAGTTCTGATTGTGCTAGAGGACTTTGTGATATTGGACACTACATATTAACAACTGATGCAAAAGGAGAAGAGGGAGAACCTGCTAGGAATGAAACACTGAGGGCACAACGAAGTGTGGGGTAGGGACAGGTAAAAGTAGGATTGGCAGATGGGACTAGAGAGAGTCTATCGAGTGGTAAATTGTTGGGTGGATATACCATCACTCCTGAGACTAACACTATTGCATCTCTTTGATAAAAAGATGATTCTGGGGCTAGCTACTAACTGGTATGAAGTATCTAGCACTTTCTCATCTAAACCCAGGAGGAACATTTTCAAAGAAGTTTATCAGCTTTATTCCTGCTCCCTAATCCAATTATGGAAACAATTTAAAATATTAATTTTATGGCCAAATTATGATTTCACTGTCTAACAATGGGCCCCGTATTTTAATTCTTTCTTGTAAACTATTTTTAAGTGTCTACTTTCTGGGTGCTTTGTATCAACCCTCATTAAAACGGAAGCTCCTCTGAAGGCATGAATTTTATTTTCCACATGGCTCTATGCAATGCCTGGGATCATTGATACTTCTGTAGGACAAGCGTCAGTGAAAACTGGCCATACAGTCATGAACTGTGCAAATGAATTAAGGCCGCAATGTGATGTCATGGAAAGAAACAAAAGATCTGGAGTCAGGAAGTCTGTTTGAAGTCCTGATTCTCCTCCACTTACCAGCTGGTGTGATCTTGGGCAAGCCTCTGAGTCCCAGTTTCCCTACCAGTAATATGGGGGTCATGATAATCCTGGCTGTACCTACTGACTAGTGAAGACGTAAGGAGTAATAGGAGGAGGAGGAGGAGTAATAATAATAATGTAGACCAAAGAGTTGTGAATTGTGAAGAACAAATATTTGTTGTTATTATCGTGGTATAGTGGAAAGCACATATAGGTTTTGGAGTCGGATGGACCTGTGCTCTAATTCTGGATCCACCAGTCACTAGCTGTAAGACCATGAACTCGATGGATTCCATTTTCCTTATCTGTAGCATTAGGACAGGAACACATAATTCACACTAAGTTGTGATGAGGGCAAAAGGCTATAATACATACAAAGTGTGTAGTATAACATTAGTCTGGAATGTAATTAGAACCCACAAATTGCAGTTCCTGTCCTTAGGTGCTTACAGAAGGTTTTCCCATGCTAGTTAGGAATTAAGTGGGGGAAGAATATGCAGAGGTAAATAAAAGACATGGTCCCTGTCCTCAAGAAGCTTTTAGTCAGTTCAGAAGATAAAACACACACACATTAAACAATATTGAAAGAATTACAGAACAGCAGATCAACAAGCTTGAGATGATTAACAGGCAGAGCCCTGCTTTCCTTAAACTTGAAAATTCGTCAACACACCCTTACTGTATTTGAAATTGGTTTAAAGGAGATTTCTTGTCCTGTCTGGGAGTAGAAGGAGAGGATCATTTACAGATGTGTGACTGTTTGTTCTTATGGATCCAAGGCTTATTCATACCCCCATCCTAACTTTACTAATCTTCTTCCTCTATCCTTCAACTAGCAGCCCACAAATATCAAAATGAAATATTTGATACAGAGACTCACTCCTAAAAGGCTTGGTAAATGATCTGGTTATATTGGACTGTTTCATTTATAATCTCAGACTATTTCATTTGCAATCTATTGTATCTAGATCAGCATGATGTGGACAGAGAATGGGAAGCTTTAATGAACACCACAGAAGTATTCCTTCACCAGTTATATGAGCTATGCACATGTGGGAGGGACACAGGAGGAGACAGGGATGCTGACCACAGGCTCCCTGCAGTAGGTGGACTCAGGGGCCAGACTGTAATGGCAGTGATGGACATGGATTCACAGGGAGAAAGGCATCCCAGTAGCAGAAGAATTAGTCAAGCAGAGGCACAGAAGCAAGAGTTAGTTGTGTGCAGGGACTGGCAAGCAGGCTGGCTCAGCTGAGGTAAAGGAAAAAAAAAACTCAAAAGAGATACGAGGTATAAAAGAGGATCTGAATGGAGACCTTGAATCCCAGGCTGACAAATCTGGACTTGAGAACAAAGGTGGTATTGTTTTCAATTTCAAGAGCACCACCCCCACCCCCTACTTCTAAGGATATTTAAAATAATTGTCATTACAAAGTTTGAAAGCTATGAAATACTACTGCTCTGATATTTTAAAGAGAATGTCTATGCTTTAATTATTCTATTTTCATATCCCTATGTGTCTAGCACAGTGCCTTGCAGATAGCAGATCCTCAATAAGTGTTTGTGAATGAAATTTATTTGTGCTTGATATTATCTTTCATTTTCCTGAAGAGAAAAGGTATGGTGTCTAATGGGACTCCTAATGACTAGACCATGAAGAGAAAAGCTAAATCTCTGGGTAAAGTTCCATCTTCATCACCAAGATTTACAGGATTAGAAACAGGATTGACATTCCACAGGAAATTCTGTAGAATGCTTTCCAGAGATTTCTTGTTCTCTGCTAGACTGGGAGCAACTTGAGGGCAGAGTCCATGTCTTCTCAGGCTGTGATTTGTCAGTATCTAGTATAGAACACAGCACACAGCAGGTGCTCAGTAAATGTGGCATAAATGGAGAATGGTAGAGACCATTCATTAGGAATCATGCTCATACTATTTTAACTGTAATTATTTCCCTGATGAATTAATATCATCAGGCATTCTGACATTTCAGCAGAAGTCAAGCCCCCTTTTCACCATACAGCCTGGAATTCCCAACCACTAACTGGTATAGATGGGCTTCTTCCATATGGGGCATCGGAAGATCTAGATTCTGGTCTCAGATGTTCCACTAACTTGCTAGGTGTCCTTGGGCAGGTCACTTGCCTCTCTGGGCTTGAGTCTCCCCATCTATAAAGTGAGTGGTTGGACAAGATGATCCCCAATATTCTATACTAATTTCAAGATGCTAAGTATTGAGCTATGAAATAATTTTGATCTATTTTAAAAGCTGCTAGGTTTGTAAAGATACTCAAACTCATTATTACTAAGCCTTTGTTTCTAATGCAGATATTCTAAACTTAAAACACAGCATCCTACTAAATTGTCACAGACATACACCAAGACCACGAACCCTTTCTGCAAGACTACCAGCATATGATTAAAATGATTACAAAGGAAAACCAAAGCAACAGCAAATGCTACAAAAAAGGATCCAAATTCAATCATGGCCCTCAATAAGCAGGCCATTGCATAAAGAGTTACTGGTCCTAAATTCTGAAGGTCCTATCTGAAAAGGATGGCTATGTGTCAAATATATGTATATTATGGTAAAAGGGAGATACTGTATATTGAAATGTGTATCAGGATTAAGATATTCACATAGCAACAACTCCTTCATACTTACCTTCAATGCTACACACAGGCCTTAACACAAGTTAAGACTGCCCTCGTATCAAAAAGTACAGTGATGTCTACTGGATAAAGAGCCCATTCTAGGCACTGTGACAGTATCATGGCGGGCTTCTCATCTGATCAGGCATCTGGCCAGGGAAGAGATAAGCCTCCAAGAATGTTCAACTGGAACGAAACATCATTTAGAAATTTGATCTTACTAAACGATAAGGAACCATAATCTATAAGGGCTTGGCCAGGCAAGAGGACACAGATAAAGCACGTCCAAGAAACGAAACCCTATTTTGCCCCAGCCTAGCCCTTGGGACTGCTAATGGAAACCAAAAAAATACTTTCTTAAAGATTTAGGGATGGGAGATTATGAAATTTACATCATATTCAAAATATTCTGGTCTGTTTTTTTTTTTTCCAGATATATTTTAACATTTTCCTGAGCCACCATTTCCCTGAAAGTATGGTATACTCTGGGATGCCTGGGCTCATATAATTGCTCAGAACCTTAGAGAAGGTCCCACTTTTTAGGGCTTCTGGTTCCTATATGACTTTCCCCCAAAAATGACAGTGCAATATTGGGGTTCAGATACTAACATACCCAATTGCACATTATAGAATAGGTCAGACATGTATGTGTATAAAACACCTTACTTGACCTGAAAGCAAGAGAATACTCTTGCCCACAGCACATGGTTTTGTGCAGTATAAACAAAACATTCAATTCAAGTGTACTTGTTGAAAAACAGGACATAATTAAGCAGTTGATAAAATGCATTCTTGTTTCCCACTTGCAGATCTCCCAAGAGTCCCTTCGAATTTACCTATACGAGTTTCAGCTTCCCGCTTGCCACTTAGCTTGATAACGACTCAAAAATCATTCCCTTGTTTTCAAGGGCTCTTCTTTCTTGTCTGCTCTGTGTACTACAGGGCAGTATTGACACATGGAATTAATGACAGGGTCTGTAATGAAACAACAGTCATGCAAACACCAGTCTGCTCTTTTGATAAAACAGCATGTTAGAGACCTATTCACCTCCCTCTAATTGAGTACTGCATAATAGTTCTGATCCTTTTATGTAACATATTTTGTTCTATGATTAGAAAAGAAGAAAAGGGGGGGAAACATATGAGGCACTGCTTCCTTCAGTCACCCCCTGATTAATTCTCTGTTTTTAATGAGGGCAGCTGCTATTTAGGCAGGTTCTGTTACATACTTGTTTTGTTGACTTCTGTACAATGTATAACAAAACCCAAGACAGGATAATTGGGAACCATTTCTTAGGCACAGGATTCCTGCTCTTAATGTAAGGTTGGCTTGGAAAAAAGAAATCCTGACATTTTAAATTAGCCATTTCATATTTAATTCCTTTTCACATTTGAAAGATGGGATGAGATATTAGTATATAAATAAAGCATTTTAATTAACATAGAGCTTTTCAAAAAATGCCTGTTAGAATGGAGCCTGTGATAGCCCTGAGAAGGAAGCTCTGTAGTTCTTTGTTAAAAGTCCAAAGTTTGGGAGTGTATCAAGATTTCAGCATTACTGGAATAGTTCATAATCCACTGAAGTATAACGGGTTTCTCAATAACTTGTGATATTCTTATAAATGTTTTTACCTTTTTCTCACAGAAATAATATAACCTTTGGACTGGTTAACATGTTCGGTTAGATACTGTGAAATTGTCCTTTGGGCTTTAACTCTAGTCCTTCATCTTTCATCTAATGACTTCCTAGTGCTGACTGGTTATACTGATCTTTCACTAAGCCACTGACTCAGTAGGAATGAGTATGGCAGCTTTTCCATAGCAAATTTGAGGTCTAGGCTACATCTTTCAAAGACGATTCTGAGATCCTACCCTCAGCCCTCATCATTGTGCTTCAGGATTGGGTACAATTGGGAAAGTAAAATATGCCACCTAAAAATACTGTTACCCGAGACAAATGGATATGGCATACTGTCCCCACATTACCATGTCTTGTAATTGGTAATTGTCTAAACCAGGGGTGTCCAATCTTTTGGCTTTCCTGGGCCACACTGGAAGAAGAAGAATTGCCTTGGGCCACACATAAAATACACTTAATACTAATGATATCTGATAAGCTTTAAAAAATGCAAAAACATTTCATAATGTTTTAAGAAAGTTAATTAATTAGTGTTGGGTGGCATTCAAAGGCATCCTGGGCTGCAGGTTGAACAAGCTTGGTAAACAGTCCCATACAGAAGCCTTTTATAAGTTAGGTTTTATTAATGTGATCACATGTATAAGGATTTGTCAGAAGAGCCATAATCATTCTCTTTTTAAAACAATTTAAAAACCTTGTATTAACATGGAATCATAGAAATTTTACTTGTTTCCTTCATAAAGCTTTGTTTTTTAAAACATAAGCTATTTAGCATTTGACCTGATACTTGCAAAGAGCTCAACTATAGAATGAAAAAGCAGTAATGCACGTCCTCGAAATCTTAGTTCTCTTCTAAGGTAAATATGCTTACTATCTGTCTTTTGTGCTTTTCATTGATTTAAAATTTAGAATGTCTTACTTAAAAATAATTAGACTGACAACTTTTGAGAGCTGTTGGTAATTTTCACAATAGCATGCAATCTGTAGTCTCAAGACTGATAACTGAACTTGGATTAGTCACTTAATCTTTGGTGCATTTAATCCTTAAAAAAATACCTCTGACCCTACTTAATTTACAGGGCTATTTTAATAATCAATGGGGATAACATATATGGAAGCATTTTTTAAACCTTAAAACACTATATAAATGTTAGTCTTTTGTCATTGTTCTCATTTCTGTTAGATCACATGCAAAGTTTCTAAAAATCTGCTACCCACCTCACAGTAAACAACATGGTTAAGAAAATATACAGAAAGAGAGATAAGGTATAGTACTGAAAGAATAAAGTTCAGTTTTATCTCTAAGTGGTTTTAAAAATTATTTCTTGGTAATTTATTTACATAATTTTTCTATTCTGTTGTCCAAATTAACAAAATAAATATTAATAAGAGGTGGGCATGCCAACTGACACTGTTGAATAAAGTAGCAGAAACAGAAGTTCTTAATGCTCTTCCCAATTAGGAAGACTTAAAAGTTAAAGAATCAGGAGAGAACTAAGAGAGCAAACAGTCAGTGGAGATGATTCTTATTTGATGTTTCTCTGCTAGTCAAAAGCCATTTCAGACAGTACTTTAACCAGGAGCTCAAAATAGTTATTCCCACTACAGAGCTAAAGAACAATGATTACAATTAGGCAATATAAAGGTAGCCTTGTATCCTACTTAAAGGTGTCTAGCCATTGGAAACATCTCCCAAACCTAAGGATAGACAATATCAAGCTTCTCGAATTAATCCTCCCCTGACCTTAAGGATATATTAATATAGCTGGATCCAAGTCCTCTTAATTCAACTTCCAAGCAATCTTACAGTGTATTTAAATGAGGTATAACAGCACTGTCTAATAGAAATATAATGTAAGCCACAATGTAAGCCAAATATATGTACTCTTAAATGTTCTAGTAGCCACATTGAAAAATAGGTAAAATTAATTTTAATATTTTATTTAACCCAATGTAGCAAAAATATTTCCATATATAATCCATATTAAACAATGAGATATTTTACATTTTTGTGCTGAGTATTTTACACTGATAGGGCATCCCATTTTGGACTAACCACATTTCAAGTGCTCAATAGTCATATATAGCTAGTGGTTACCATACTGGACAGGGTAGATCTACAGAATTTTCTGATGAAAACAGGATCTTTATATTTTCATATCTATAACAGATCTTACAATGCTCTAAAAATTACATCATGTTTGTGAAATGTGCCTGAAAAGCATTTCCTTCACTAACTTTATCACAAAGGGAGGTATAAACACAGTTGTTGATATTTTTGTGAGGAGAGTAAAATAATTTATTTATAAGAAAAAACTATGTTATTTTTCAGTTATAAACTACCTGTTTCAGCCTTAGTAAGTTTAAAATTAATCTTTTGATTAAAGGGAACTAATCCTGTATCTGTACCTGCATTTATTATAAAAGTCATGTTCTAAATAGTACACGGTGACCGGCAAAAAGGGAAAACAAAACACTTATTGGCTAAGGAGTAAGAAAAGGAAGAAATGGTAGAACAATTATCTTTCATTAATATAAATTTTAAAACAGATTTTGATGGCAGAATATATAAGCAAAAAGGCAATGTACCCTGTTAGACAGTGATGGGGTAAGGATAAGCAGAAGATTAACTAGGTCTGGTTCCAATTTAGAAACTAAAAAGGATTAGGAAAAAATGTAATTTGAAATATTATTTCCCTTTGTTAGTTTAAGCTTAAGCCAATCAATGCTCTCTCCCCTTTCCTAGAGGAGGCACCACTATTATATACAAATTGTGTGCAATAGCTAAGGCAAATGAAAATGTATTAGCCACAGTGGACTAGCTGTAACCACACAATTCCCATTCAGATCTCCTGCTAGAGTTGCAGGGGCTTATTTTTTCTGAAGTCAGGGAAGGAAAGACGAGGTGAAGAGGCAGGCAAATTTCATCTGCTTTTCCATCTCTACCCTCATATTAAAAATGTCAAAGGAGGCTTTCTATAATTTCATGCCTCAGGGCTTAATGTTTATGTTTGATAAACATTACAGTTATTCTATATTAAAAGAATTATGGATCCCAATATTTAAATAAGCCAATCATGGCCCAAAATACTTTATGGAATTCCTTTCCGGCCCTGAATTTTATGACATCTGGCTAAGAAATGGAACTGACAAATATACAAAGTCTTAAACCATGTTGGTATTTGAAAGCAAAAATCTGACCTTCAAATTTGGGGATCAGCTATTTTCATCGTTTTATCATCACATACTGTGGAAATCACAGGGTACAAGGCACTGTACTAGCTAGACATGATGGGATTTATAGGGTTCAGATTCTTTTCAAACTCTTTAGACCTCCAGGTGCACCGCCAATCCCCTTATCTACATCTGTCACAAATACAATCTTTACACTAAAAAAAAAAAATCACTTGGAAAACTCTTAAGTCAGCTGGTATTCAACAGGAAGAAAGTATCTGAGCACTAATCTCTCCAGTATCTTTGAAAATCCAGGTAAGAGAAAGCTGCTAAAGTGGTGAGCTCCTTGAGGCAGTGGCTATGTCCAGCATGGAGGCAAAACAGAAATGTAATTTTAACTTTTACATTGGTGGTTTTACAATTTTGGTAGTGAATAACCTCTATACCCTACACCAGGCTTAGTAACAGTATTTGGCATGACCAACCTTAGTCATCATCACTTTGGTAAGTGCTTTGGCACGGGCCACTGTTGCTAACCACCATCCTGGTGCAGGTCCTTCACATCTGCTCTCCTATGGATGGAAAAAAGGAAGTGTCTAGTGTCCATTCATTGGCCACATCACCTCCAACCCTATCCTTTACTCACATGCCTTTCAATTCAGGTGCAGGAGAACATGATTTCATTTTTGAGAAGGAAAGTTAATCAGACAAAGCTATGGTACACTATTAGCACAATAAAGACTTGGTTGAATGCAGAACAGCCAAGAGTAAAAGGAAGGGAACTAACCAATAGTACAATGCTGACAGGGTGATTAGGAAGTGTTCCGGCAAACACTTACTGTAACAGAGAGACACAGTAGCACAGTGGACAGAGCAAAGGTCTTGAGTTCTGGAAAATGAAGGCCTAGTCTCATTTTTTTAAAAAATTAAGGTAGAAAGAGAATGTATGTGAAACGGTTTTACAAACTGTTAAAAGGAAATGAATTATCAGTCATTAGCTTGGAAATGCTGTGGGCAATTCTTTGGTACTTGCTTCCCCCAATGAGAAACCTGATAACATACTATATTAATCAAATAATGGCAAAACAACCTGAGCTATTTAGAAGAAATAAGTAGTATGTGACTATCCAAGACTTATTAACAAGATTAAATTTCTCTCTACCTGGAATGAATGGTCATTTTTCTATTAAAAACCTCAAAATTCTAGGATCAGCACAAATGCTAGCTTTCCTGTGAAACAGTCCCTGAATCATCCATACAGAATGAACTAATCCTTTTCCTGGGTGCTTACAGTTCAACATAGACCTCATTTTGTCATTATTTCCTTCTACTTTGTATTCTAGACTAGACTGCAGTCATTTCTTCCACTAGAATGTGAGTTTTCCAAAGGCAGAGACTGTCACATTCGCCTCGGAATCTTCCTCAGCTTTCTAGCACAATGCCTTGCAGAGAGTAGCTGCTTAGTCAGTGTTCCCTGAATTGTACTGAGTTCAGTCTATTTTGGCTTTATGGCATCTTTTTTACCTCAAAAAAAAGTGAAAAAAGAGAAGAAACTTAAGACTAATGAGGAATACAGCACAAAAGACATGTAAGACGCATAAAGAATGGCTTCATTCTTTGCATTACTGCTTTGGAATGCCCACTGCTGATCTTTATACAGTTTTGTCATTGATTGTATTTAGTGAGAGCAAATGTTAGAAAGCACACGAAGGCAGACAATGTAAAACACCCACCACACGTCATGCAAAAATTCTGTATGATTTAGAACTATTCTCAAGGTGCCTTTTGCTTCAACTTTAATGACAAAATTGGTACCATCAAAGCCAATATAAGACATATTTGCTCTGCTTTACACATGCAAAAATCAGTGTCACCTTCAGCTGGGCATCTGCTGGGTATTTCCAGATAAGTAGGCATCTTCTTTGAGGCATAGTTTAAATCAGGTGGAAGCTTGGTTATTTCAGACTTGACGTTTGTACATTTGTTGACAGCTTCTATAATATGTGGATTCCCCTGAGATTAAAAGGAGAAGGACCTAGCACCTTTGTTTTCTGTGCCTGTGATAGAGATGCCTTGTGAAATGGCAGTGTCTCTATTAGTAAACCAAGTATGTGGATTATATTGCATAGTCTTAGGCAGTTATTTTCCTTATCTCCCATTTTCCTATCTTGGAGTTTACTCATCCAGGGTAGATGGGCCAGTTAAGTAGTATTTGTGTTAACCTTTAAAAACTCATGTTGTTGGTCAGAATGTATTATTTATGCAACTGGTTTACTGTCCTAACACACTAATATGTTCTACTCAGGTCCTTGCTGATACTTCCTGTCAGGTTTCTACCAGACGGACTCTGTTGGTACTTTTTTTTTTTTTGAGACCGAGTTTCACTCTTGCCCAGGCTGGAGTGTAATGACGTAATCTTGGCTCACCACAATCTCCGCCTCCTGGGTTCAAGCGATTCTCTTGCCTCAGCCTCCCAAGTAGCTGGGATTACAGGCATGCACCACCACACCTGGGTAATTTTGTATTTTTAGTAGAGAACGGGGTTTCTCCATGTCGATCAGGTTGGTCTCGAACTCCTGACCTCAGGTGATCCGCCCGCCTTGGCCTCCCAAAGTGCTGAGACTACAGGCGTCAGCCACCGCGCCTGGCCCGACTCTGTTGGTTCTTATCCTGTTGTTCTTATATCATCACTGTGTTTCATTAGCTACATCAGCTCCTTCTGGAAGCAGCTAAACATACATTTTTATATATTCATTTCAAACTTATTCTGCCTCCTATAGGTTTGCTCTATCAATATCTTCTCTGTGACTATTAATTCCTCTGGGAAGGAACATGTCTGTTCTATACGAAGGTATGGAAAATGTAATTTGCAAACAGGCAACAATGTCTTTTTGAAGATTGTGAGCATGGTCAGTTAGCTGTAAATTCTAACCGTCTTGAGAAAGGATGAAAATTTAAAATGGCTAGGTGGAAGTTACTGAGTTCTCGTCATATTAGCTTTAAAGATAATTAAGCTATTTACTACTAAACAACCTCTACCACATTACCAGCATCATACTCTGTGGCTGGATAAATATCCAAACTTGTCACACTCCCCATGTCAGTCTTTTGTTCTTGTCCATTTCTACCCTAAGCCTCTGCTGTGCCCTTAATCTCTGCTTGTTTCTGTATTCTACCTTTTCCCTTTCATGGTTGGCTTTCTGGCTTTTCCATTCCAATGGCGCCTTCTTTTGATTGATGGATACTAGCCTTTATGTAGTTACTGTGAAAAAGGAGATGGCCAGAAGAAATTCATCTTTAAGTGGCAACTGCCACCAACACACAGAAGCATTCATTCAAGATGGCTTAAAGAAGATAGTGATTCAATGTATGACTGGAAAATAGAGCGATTCAGCCAAGTATGAAAGGAATTCTTTTCTAATAACTCCTCCAAGATGACTAGTCGTTGATTAGTATACATTTGATTTAATTACTTTCAAAACTGGTTATTTTTGGAGGGGAAGGAGGTGTAAAGCAAGAGGGGAGGGGAGTTTTTTTGTTTTGTTTTTGTTAGAACTCCTAATTAATACAAGTCCCTGTTTTCAGAAAATCCTTCATTTGAGCTATTTCTTTTCACTTTTTCTTATTGGGTGCATGACATTTTAGAATTCTTGGTTTCAGCAGCAACCCAAAAAGGCATAATTGCAAACTTACACATCAAAAATGAAAAAAAAAAAAAAAAAAAACAAAAAACAAAAACAAAAGCATCATGATTTGAAACAAAAGCTAAAACAGGCTAAAACAAAAATACAAGCAGCAGCAAAATCACTGAATCTAACTCACAGCATCTTTTTGAAGACAGGGAGGTTAGTTGGTTAAATATTACAGTGCTCTGGTAGTTACTATCTTAGCTTTGAGAATTTAAATGTTTAGGAATGAACATCCAGAAGCGGCACATGTAGAAAAACCATGGTAGCCAAGAGATATCTGAACTGCTGCCTGGGCCACCTTATTCCAATCAACATGGATTTCCAGAGTTGCTGTTCTATGGTAACTCTCGGTGAGAGAGACAAAGAAATAGACCATTTTTAGAAACCAAGCAAAAATGGATGGGAATACAATACCTGGAAAGTTTATCAAGCATGTTGACAAGTTTCATGGCTTCATATTCTTTTTGTTCTTCTGTCATTTCATCTATGGGGTTTGGCATTGGTTCCTCTAAATGACCAGTGATAAGATTAATGCTACAAAAAGAAAAAAAAGTTATGCTGTATGTTTTAAAATTATGCTCTTTCTATACTTTTCTGGTCCAACTTGTAAGTGATAATAAGAAAGAGTATAATAGCCAAAAAATTGGCAATAATTTCAATTTTATGATATAGAACTGATATAGGAATTTTTTTAAATGGACTTTTCTACTAATTTGCTTTGGGAAATTGACTATAGTTACTTTTATTAAAAAACGAAAACTGTCTTGCCAACTTTTTTTTTTAATGCATGGTTGCTTTTTAAAAATACAAAATTTGATTAGTGCCGTTAGGATGAATATCCATGGATGCACAGTTTATCCATTAATTCTAAGGGGACATATGATTTCAGGAAAGAAGAAATGAGGAAATCCATTTGGTGATACAGCATAAAACATACAAAAAAATTGGAAAAATGATGACAGGCTGCAATCTGGAAATGAAAGCATGCCAATTTATAATCTCAGGAAATTAGTCCATTAGTGAGACCACACAGGGCAATGGATGTTTAAATAATAAAAGATAAAGCAGAAGAACAATTTTAATTAGGTTTGATCTGGCCTAGATTTAAAAAAAGGAATAAAATCTAGCCTACCAAGAGACAGGTATATCACCCTGGCTTTCTGGAAATAGATTTAATGCAGTACTTAAAATGAATACCTTGCATAAACTTTGTTATGAGACTATAATACCAAACAAACTATTCTCTTAGAAAAAAGCCATATATTTTTTTTGAGGTGAAGAAAAAAAAGATAACTCTTTCAATGCCTCCTAAATATCTACAACAAACATTTTTCTAGAGAAGCAGACAAGAGATTACAGTATCTTATAGTAGCCAAGTACAGATAGTTTGTTTTTTGTTTTGTTTTTTTTTGATGGAGTCTCGCTCTGTCACCCAGGTTGGAGTACAATGGCACCATCTCAGCTCACTGCAACCTCGGCCTCCCAGGTTCAAGTGATCCTCCTGCCTCAGCCTCCCAAGTAGCTGGGATTACAGGCACATGTAACCACACCTGGCTAACTTTTGTATTTTTAGTAAAGACAGGGTTTTGCCATGTTGGCCCAGCTGTTCCCAAACTCCTGAGCTCAAGTGATCCTCCCGCCTCAGCTTCCTAAAGTGCTGGGATTACAGGCATGAGCCATGGTGCCCAGCCGATAGTTTGTTTTTAATGATCAAATTAAATATCCTCCAAATAGCAATTGCTAATAAATTGCTTTCTAATGTCTATGAACACAAATGCTTTCAGGAGCCAGTTAAGATAAGCAAGTAAGTAGGTCAAATACACACAATGTGGAGCGTTGGGAGATTGGAATCAACTGGAAAACAGTCCTGAGTCAAAATAAATAAATAAATAAATACTGGCCAAGACAGAGACACAGTGATTAATTAAATCTTCTGGTGGCCAGCTTGCAACCTGTTTGAGACTTTTGCTTGGGCAAGTTACTTTCTTTACTGACCAGGGCTTTTCTCATTTGGGGTAAAGACTAGCTTACCATGTACTGTTATCTATGACTGTTAGATTTTCTTTTCTTTTTCTACCTTCCTCAGAAGCTGCAAGACATACATATTCTTATGGAAGGAGTCAATGCTCACTATCCTTGAAAACCTGATTTAAAACCTATCTTGCCATTCTTGCATAAGGCCTATATCTAGAGCCATGCTTAAAAAACTTTTTTCACCCATTAGAAACCCAATATATAAAACAGACAAAAGTGAATTGCTCAGGCAAAAAGGGGATGGAAATAGTCAAGGAGATGGGAGCCTAGAGTCCCTTTATCTGTCCCCTACCCACTTGTTTTCTCTTAAGGCACTTTCACAGGTTCTAGGACAACCTGAAAACCCATGGCCTTGTCATCTATTCCTAGCCTTGGCTGTACATTAGAATCACTTGAGAAAATTTTTAAAAAGCTTGGGCCTCACCTTAGACCAACTAAATCTGTGTGTGTGTGTGTGTGTGTGTGTGTGTGTCCACAGTGCTTGCTTTAGACACCCATTGTGTGCTACTATTTTCTCTCCTTTTTACAGGTGATCATAGAAGAGAAAAAGGCCTCTAGTTAGAGGCCATCAACAAAAATGCTGAATGGGCCATCGTATTTCCTAAAAGTCAAGAACAAAGCAGACCCAGACAAGGCTTCTAAGAACTATGGAGATGTATCCAGATGCCACACTGAAAATACAATTCCACCACCCATCCATTATTTACTCAGGCATATAACAAGACATCTTTCACTGGTTTCTTTTCTGCCACCTGTTAAATTAGAAAAACAACTAGTCTTATAAATAGATGTGCTTAATATAGATAAATACCACTTCCCAAGCAAAGAAAATCGGGCCTTAGAAGGAAGTATAAGGGAAGGTAGATGTATTAACTATGTAGGTCATGCTTATTTGCCTCTTGAGAGATAGCTTCTCTCCTCCAATTCAGTGGAGCTGTGATTTGAAAAATCAGGCCTGTACACAGTTTTAGGATATAATGACTTTGCACACACGATCATATGCTTCAGGGAAAAAATATGTCAGGAGGACACACTGGTAAACTGTGGTATTATGGGCACCACAGCATACAAAGTCATTATATGAATTCCTAGATTAGGACACAATTTGATGTTTTTCTTGGTTTACTTTAGAGCTTAGTGGAAATAAAGTCTGTTTTCCATAAGCTGACCTCAAGTCCCCTGGCTGCTAAAATGATATAATGGTTTGCTCTGAAATTAGCTACTGAAGTAACACAATTCTTTGCTATCTGAGTATAAAAGCAGGAGCCAGAAATTCATTCTTACAGAATAAGAACTCATTTTTTGCCCATGGAGTAAGACATTTAAACCCCCCAAAGTCACTCCAGGGATTTGGGTTTCATTTTTTCTTTAAAAAGACATTTTCCCCCTGGATCTTCAGAAGAATGTAAACGAAGCCACAGAAAACACAAGTTAGGGCACTGAAGTACAGTGTACCACTCTCCTATGGGGAAAATGCCAACGTACTGTGGCAGAAGGCAGACAAACACTATCTCTTCTCCCGCTCCCCACTTCACACCAGAGTCTCATGCAGTTTCCCTACCCAGAAAGGAAGAGAAAACAAGTAATAGTCACCATGACAACAAAGATGTGAGAGTTCATAAAATAGGTTACTTTTGATGGAACAAAATACCTGACACCTTTACAACCTCAAATAGTATAGTCTGAGACACCACAGTCCAGGTTTCAAGATCTTAACACTACGAAATTCTGGCGTTACTTTTATTTTATTCCAAAACTTGGAGTCTTAAAAAGCTTTAAGGACCCTAATTGTGGTGGACATTTTATTGGGTAATTATCACGATCTCTTCCACCTTGTCTCTGCTCCCCTGTCCCATTTTCATAGCACTTCAGTTCTATTATTTATGACTTCCAATTAGGTGACAAGAAGTGTCTAAACTCTTATCTGTGGTATTTCATCATAAATATTGTATAGGACTATTACATGAACTGACAGCAGCTATGGGCCTGAAGACAAAAGGATTAAGACACACTAAAAAGGTATGGACAAATGAACACATGTATAAAATCTGAACTGTATTTCAAGTCTTTTGCTCTTTCTTCAAATTTTTGCTACCTTTGGCCAACATCCACAGAACTAGGTCATTTCACAAAAAAGATCCATTAAATGTTCATTCAGCTACATGAAAATTAACTTCAATCTCTACAATGTGTGGCTTAAATTGATTCAAAGCATTCTGATTTAAAAAGGAACTCTAAAGTCAACCTGCAGGAGCTGTCAAGATAAGTGAACAGGATAAGCTGTCAAACCAAAGAAGCTTATGCCTCATATGACGGGGACCACAGCTACTCAACTCAACTAGTTGCCACATAGAATGCAGGCCCTATGTTACCAGAACTTCTAATTTTTCAAAGGTCAGAAATCAAGATTTTCATCTAAAATAGCTGAATTTAAAATGTTGGTAATTACATCAAGAAGCACTGTGTAAAACAAAAAAGCATAAACACCAAATAACCAATAGTACATGGGGCAAACCAAACAAAACATACTTGTGGGCTAAATCCAGACAATTTGCAACCTCTACAAAAGGGATCAGGGTTTTTAGGAAAAGGCGTTTTGTAAGCCAAGACCAGGAAAGAAGGGGACAGATGGGTGGGAAAGGAGATGTTATATGCAAATGAAGCTAAAAACATCTTTTGGCAGAGGGGTGGGGGGGGCGGGACCCCAGAATATATGGCTCTCCCAAAAACAATACAAAGAACAAAAATTTTTTTACCGTATCTGAATTTTTTTTTGAATTCTATTCCCTGGGTCCCATTCCTCAACTAGATGTGGAGCTTGATGAGGGACGAGAACTCAATTATCTTGGTAACTTAATGCCGAGGAGGGGCTGACTGACTCAAAAAATTCATTCAACAAAAATTTACTGATTGCTTACTGCGTGCTGGGCACATCTATATGAACAAAAACAGACCAAAAAAACAAAACAAAACAAAAAAAACCCTTCCCTCATGGAGCTTATTTTTTAGAGGAGAAAACAGACCTAATGAATAAGTAAGTTATATGGAACGTCAGAAGGTGATAAGCACTGTGAGAAGAAAAGGGCAATGAAAAGAAGTATGAGGCGGAGTGGTAAAGGCAGGAGTGTTAACAAGGGCACAGAACAGGTGATACCTGAGTGAAGATTTGAAGGAGGTGAGGGAATAAGATATGGCAGCTATCTGGAGGACAGACATTCCAGGTAGAAGGAACAGCAGTCAATAGGCCTCGGGCAGGAAAGTGTCTGCAGTACCTGACACAGTGAAGAGGTCAGTGTGGCAATAGCATAGCAAGAAAGGGTGCAAGTATACCACTTCAAGGACTCTGACTGACCTACTGTAGACTTCTCAACAGTTGACTAGTCTGATTTACATATTATAAGGATCATACTGACATGAAGAGGAACAAAGGTAGAAGTAACAAGACCAGTGAGAAGGCTACTAAAATGATCTAGAGAGAGAGATTTTAGCTCGGACCAGAG